AATGTATAAGGAAGGAATAGCATGATGAAGGAAGATTAGACTGCCAGAAGTTTTCAGAAATAACAGGATAAGTCTTTATCTGCATATGGAAAATTGGAATCATAATAAAAAAAGATCCCATCAAGAGTAGAAGTATAGGGACTTCCCTGGTGGTGCAGTCGTTAAGAATTTGCCTGCCAATGCAGGGGACACCGGTTTAATCCTTGGTCCAAGAAGATCCCACATGCCACGGAGCAACCAAGCCCGTGTGCCACAACTACTGATCCTGCACTCTAGAGCCTGCAAACCATAACTACTGAGCCCATGTGCCACAACTACTGAAGCCTGCATGCCCTAGAGCCTGTGCACCACAACTACTGAAGCTTGTGCACCTAGAGCCCATGCTCCGCAACAAGAAAAGCCACTGCAATGAGAGCCCGCAACGAAGCGTAGCCCCTGCTCGCCGCAACTAGAGGAAGTCCACACACAGCAGTGAAGACCCAACACAGCCAAAAATAAATAAATAAATGTATTTTTTAAAAAAGAGTAGAAGCATATAGGATAATGACTTTCAAGAATTACTCAATTAATCAAAACTGTAATTCTCTGGAAATTATTCATTTACAGAGAAACTACAGTGGAGTTAGTTGTCAAACTTGGTACATGTAGAGATCCAGTTTGCTCTAAAGCATATTCCATGAGAGAGATAAGGATGTGGGCCTATGTGCACAAGTGCAATGTTGCAATAAGAATAATTTGATCAGATTCAGCAAAACTAAGAGGGTTTACTGGCAATGGTTATTTTATTTCTGGGGAAGGAAAAAGTAAGAAATGAATTCATGGCTCTAAATTTAAGATACTAAAGGTGTTTTGGTTTCTCTGAAAACTTCAATATGGGAAAATAAGAAATTAAAGCAAGAATTCTGACAAATGAACTTTGGCTTATCTCAGTCATAGAACATATGACTCACTTTTTCTCATATGGTACCAAGTTACTTGTCTTATTTTGCTTTGTTTTTAACTTGATATCGTTTCAAATCTGATTGCTCTCTAAGATTGAAAATTTAAGTGTTTGCCCGAGAAAGCACAACCCATATATAAGACAAATCATGTGGCCTGGAAAATATGACACATAAAAGAAAAGGTCATATCTGCTTCAATAGAAAAGACCTCAAGAATTTTGAAACAGAATTAAATTCTCACAGCATTATAGTTATTTGCCACAAATAATATGAACCTAAATCAATACTTGTTTGAAAATGTGTTGAGGAAGACATTAGAAGATTGCAAAACTGAGTTGTTGGCCAAGTTATGTGTAGTTGGTAAGAGTTAGGTGTCTTGGATGAAAGTTGAAAGGAAAGCACTAATTCTGAGCTTTCAGAATTGAGAAGGGATTGGGATGATGGAGAGAATAGGAGGTTTTGTGAAGGTGGTAACTGATGAGCTGGACCCTGAAGGACGGGTAGAATTGGCTGAGATAGGAAGCTGCCTTTTTTGCAAAGAGAGGACGTAGAGATGGGAAAAGTGGGATATAGTAAAGAAATGTGAGCAAGTTGTGCAAAGGGAATTTGTGGCTTACAGTTAAGTTTGGATTGAAGCTAGGTTGTAAAGAACCTCCAATGGGGTCTTTTTCCTCCAGGACAGTGGCTCCAAAAATGTTTCCATCCCCACCTTACCTTCACCCTCCCTACATGAAATGCCCTCTGATATTTTCTGTTCCATTGTATTCTTCACTGTTTCATTTTTAAAGAATTCTGACATGATCCACTATAGGAATTACATATTCTTTTAAGAGGTCAAAACCCACAGTCAGTAAATGCTGCTCTCGTGAAATTCATGAAAGTGTCTGAGTTGAAGAGTAGAGAAGGAATATGAACTGGACTGGTTGCAGAGAGTGACTAGAGGGGAAGAGACAGGGAAATCTGGCTTTGCTGCTAATTGTGGGCACTAGGGGAAACATTTGTTGAATTAATGAATATAAAGTGAGCAAGGACATTGCAAAACATGTCGAGGAGAGGGAATGAGAGAATGATCTAAGGTGATGAGAGAGAAATGAAGAAATGCATGCAAGACATATGTAGAGGACCAAATAAGATTTTCTAAAAATCCGTCTATGTATATATACTTATGTATGTATAAATATTGAATTAGTAATAAATAAAATCAAAGCAGATTTATGAAATAAATGTCTCAAAAACTTATTGAAATATTATAAGCAAATCTAAACTACTCAAAACTAAGCCAACCAGCAGTGTAATGGAAAAATTCATATAGCCTCAGGAGAAAAGGGAAGAAATGTTTAGCATCTACCATGAGTCAGACATTAATATGTGCAATTTCTCATTTAATCCTCATAAATCTGTCAAACAAATATTGATGTCCTTGTTCTGCAGACAAGGAACTGAGCATCAGAAGTTAAGTAGTTTTTCCAAAGTCAAAAAACTAGTTAGATCAAAAGCAAACATCTAGAGCCAGGTGTGTCTGATTCCAAAGCTTGGGCTTTATTGATAGTGTAAAATTCTATTTATGAAAAAATGTTGCAATTATTTTTTAAAAGAATAAGGTATATTTCATTTTGGTACACAGCAGGACTTTTCAAGCCAACTTGTGGTCTCAAAATAACTCTTTGTAATCCATCCTGGACTATTTACAAAGAATAAATAAGGATTTATAAATAAATGACAGGTAATGTTTTAAAAAATAAATTTTTAATTTAGTTTTAAAATTGCTGTGATAGTTACGATTAAATGCAAGATCCAGATACACTAAAAATGTAATTAAAAAAACAATAAGGATGCCATCTCAAGAACAGATGGGAAACTGTCCATTTCTTTAATCATCTCCTCTCCTAGCTGATTCCACATGGGGAAACAAACAAGTCACATATCATATTAATGCAAAACTCCAACATGAGCAGTGCTAGAAACCTTGCCCCGAGCTGGGATTTCAATGGAAAGACAAAAGATTTAATGGTAAACTTGGAATAATAACTAAACTAGCAATTTCAAGAAAAAACACACAGTAAAATGCATGTATTTCAGTAATAGCTCAAATTTTTCATTAATATTTTAATGTCAGATCACTTTCAAGTGGGATGCTTTAGGAACTGAAAAAAATTATCATGCTCTTTTTGTGAAATGAAAGACTTTGCCTTAATTTTGTAGTGTTTGTTCTTCATTTCTCTAAATTCTGTATAAAAACTTCTTTTCCAAAATACCACATTGGCAGACTGGGAGCTGGGTTCCAAAGACAAACACTACAAATAACTCTTTGAAACAAACAACAACCAAACAGCTCCTACAGATGGGCACAGAAATATTTTGCTCTGACATGGGAATAATAGCACATAGCTATGGATGGTTTATGAGCTCAGGCATTCTCTTCTGGTGCAGCTGTGGAATTCGATGCACCCTCATCTACATCCTTCCCCAAAAGTAATTTTCTCAGCAATCTAGAAAACATTGGTTTCTATCTCCCAGGCTTTATAGACTGAAAGTAAAGCTTGGAACTTCTTAATAAATGTGTAACACTAGTCTTCGGTTTAAATATACTACTGGGATGACAAGCAGCAGGAGTGTCTTGGAGGTCATTTCCAGGCAGGTATTCATCCCTTAGAAGCATTTTCAGGGATGACTTATTTCCAATGGATAAAGGTTTATTAGATATATTCCCCCAAGCTATAGAGGCTGTTTTCCGAATTTGGATAACTCTAATGTGAGACATATCAAATGCATCAGGCTCCAATTCTGTTGGCAATAAATCTCCCTCAGAATTCCCATTGTATTTAGTTATGCCTGCTGTGTTGGATGTGAGGAAACTCATGGGATAGGAGATTTCAAAGTTAAGTAAAGCCAACAGTGAAATAGTACTAAACTTTTATCCAATCAGGACACATGGATCAATTTCAGATTAATCCTAAAAGACATTTCTTCTATTAGGACATTACTGTTATTATTCTTACAGTTTAAAAGAATCATAATTTGATGTATCCAAGCTTTTAGGGGGGAAATTCCTTATATTTGTGACATACATATATATACTATTATATATGTATATAATTTTTCCCATTATTCTATCTAAACTTGTAGAAATTATTAAAGGAAAATTTTTCTTACCATTGTTAAAGACCATAAGGAAGACTTTATTCAAGGGACTACTGCAGTGAGGTTTTGCAGTAGGGGATAGAGTTTGGGCTCAATTCTGAATACAACAAGGAAAAGTGGGGATTTACAGCCAAGGAGTAGGGTTGTGTCTATGGGTGGAAAACTACTAAGAGGAAACAGCAGGGCTAAAGGCTAAACTTACTTGACAGGATTCTTGCTGAAGACAGGCCAGAATGATCAGCTATCAAGGGTGAGGAATGAGGTATTAGATCAGATATGGGTGGAGGATTTTCACTAAACTGATCCAGCAGGATTTTTGCTAAAACTTGACAAAGGGGCCAAGGACAGAGTTCAGTGTGGGACCTCAGAGGGAAGAGGGCTCTGAGGAGGCTGACTCGGGTTTGGGCAAAGTGAGAGTCTTTCTCAAAATACAATTTAAAATATTACCTGGAAGGCAAAACTGACCAGAAAAGAAGCTCATTAAACATTCACCTCTCAAAACAATATAAAGATGTGAATTACCCTAAATGTTAGTTCTGTCACCACCACCGACAAAACTTGAATGCTTCCTGCGGGTCAGGACCTATACCAGCTCTGGGATTAAAAGGTGAATAAGACCTATTCTGTCCCTGTCTGCGTAGCCCATACACTGTAGCAATTAAAACTGGCCATTAGAGTAGGACCTTCCATAGGTTTCTTTAAGAGACAAACAGGAAGAAAAGAATTCCCTTTCAATCAAGACTCTTTCTTTCCTTTCTGCTTGTCCAAGAACCCCTTGCTCAGTCCACTAGCTTCCCTGCTTCGCCCCTCCGCACCCCACTTCTGCTAACAGCGCTCTTGAAGGTCCGCACCGCCGTCTCCCGGCCTTCGAAGCCCACTGCGCTTGCGCACATCCAGGTCTTACTCGCCAGCAGGGGGCAAGTCACGATTTTCTGTCCTCCTCGGCTGGGCTCTGGCGCCCTTCTTCTCCCAGCCTTCTCCCTTAGCCCTGGCCTGGAGACGCTTCCTTAGCAACGGGTCGCCCTTGGCAACAGGAGGACGCGGGCGGGCTGACTGGGTTTCCCGCGCGTTCCTGGCACCTGCCTGCGGTGGGAGGCGCAGGCCGAGCCATGTCGGAGATCCTGTGCCAGTGGCTCAACCAGGAGTTGAAGGTGTCCCAGACCGTGAGTGAGTGTCACAGCCTGGGGAGAGCGGGCCGGGGGCGAGGGGGCCGCGGAGCCTGGAGCGCGGCGCGCTGATGGAAGGTGGCGACGGGGCAGGGGCTAGCTGCCCGCTCCGGCTCACCTCAGCCGCTGCAGGGCTTCTCCCGCCTCCGCTCTGCCGCTCAGAGGTATCCATCATCACGGTGGTCCCAATCCCGCAGGTTCTGACCTACCGTGGTGCTCAGCCATCAGAGGCTTCAGGGAGGGCTCCCTTGCTCCTTTGGAGAGAAGAATTTTCTAGACTCTATCGTCTGGCCCTGACATTGCTCCTTTCACACTCAAGCGTGGTGTAGTACTAAGCCAACGAAGTATGAAGCCTGAAAGCCAGCTACCGCGCTACTAAATGTGTGCCCCGGGACAAGTTACAATACCTTCTCCTTCTTCCAGTGTGTTTCCTCCAGTATAAAACAGATCCAGTCATACTTGCCATACCTAACTGCCTCGCAGGAGAGGAGGGTGTGTGAAATGAGTTAATGCAGAATATGTTAACTTTTACAAATTTCAGCAGTCTTAGCTCAAATGTACACATTAGCTGCTTCTGACCACTTTTCACTCTTCCCAAAGCTGACCTTCTTCACTAACCTGATTTTCCCCGAGCCATGAAGTTGCTGCCCCAAGTTTCTAAATCTCATAACCACAGAGGCAGTTTTACATGTTGGCACCTTCTGTGACAACCAAAATTCCAGAATAGCACTACCCCCCCCCCATTCAACTTCTTTCTGTTGTCTCTTAAGCAGTTCATTTTCCAGCTGGTAATGTTTTTGCTCAAAGCAAGACGTTTTCAGACCGAATCATTTCAGTCTGTTTTTCCCAGAAGCATCCTTGCATAATGCCAACTTGCTACCAGAGGGGCAATAGTGCCAACTCAACCTTAAGTCTTAAGTCATCCACAGAATTTGCTAGATCAGTCGTGTCTCTGCAGCCACACAGTATTTGTTATCAGCGTTTAAGATCTTTAACTTTTGGAGCTTCTCCAGTTGCCTTTCTTGAGGCATAAAACCCGGATTTTTTCTTTGCCAAACCACCACCGGCACATGCCCTGGGAATCGCAGTAACCTTTTTCCCCAGGATTCTATGATCATCCCATGTGTCTCTGACTGTTCCTCACCTAAAATACGATGCTGATCTCAGGGTGGCGTTTAGCATTTTTCTTTTCATATTTCTTTCTCACCATAGGAGCCAACATGTAATAACATGCCCTTAAGATATACTCTTCCGAAGAAAAGCAGTTATAAATTGCTGAGTTTAATTTGGTTTATTTACTTGATTAATAAAAACTGCACCCTTTGCTCAAGTCCCTAAGACTCTGTTGTATATTGAAACACTTCTGAGAAAAGTAAATAAAATTCATAAGAAATATAGAAAAACAGTAGTATGCCATTCTAATTGTAATCAGTTTGGGAATTTTGGTTTTGAGAGGAGGAGGAAGAATTACTTCATTCCGTGAATATTAAAAGACTGGAGGCTTTTTAAGTAAGAATTTAAATAACATAAACTATAAATGGAAAATTCCCAGTGTTTGCTTTCCAGAGGCATAACGCCAGAAGCTGTTAGCAGAGACAGCTGCAATATTCTGCATCCCATTCACTAGCAATACATATTCATTTTTTGACCTGAGTTGCTAAGAGGAGCCTAAAAAGAGAGAGACAATCCCCTAAGTAACCAAATTCCATATTGTAAAAGGCTTTTCTGACTATAGGGCACACATTCAACTGTGTTTGGAAACAAACAAGATAGGATTTGTGCACCTAAGAAGCACACTGCCAGTTGATTTCTGTCATTAGATAAGCCATCCTATGGTGTACAATGGAAGGCTTAGAATGGTTCAGAGGAACTCTCATGGAAGGACTGTTAAGTGGGTACAACCTCTGGGGAAAGTAATTGGGCAATTGCTGGATAAGGATCCTGTTAAGAGCAAGGATTTGGAGGCCAGACTGTTTAGGTTGAAATCACTTATTCACACTTCCTAGCTAGTGACCTTGGGCAATTTATTTACCTAAATTTTATGATATTCAAAATAGGGGTAATAATAATACTGCATTGAGTTGTGTCAAGACTAAATGAGATAATAAATGTAAAACATTTAGAATAGTCCCTGAGACATAGTAATGCCAAATCTTACTTTACAGAAACTATCATACAAAAATAAAATCACCAATATGTAAGGACATTTGAACAAGGATGTTTATTGCTACATGGATGGTAGGGGCAAAAAGAAAAAAAATGGAAACAGTTTGAATACCCTTCAGTAGCAGAATACTTGGGTAGATGATGCTATGGATTGCTATGCAGTTGTTAGAACAAATGAGTTAGTTGCTATAACTTTTGACCTAAAGAATACTCAAGTAGGGCTTCCCTGGTGGCGCAGTGGTTGGGAGTCCGCCTGCCGATGCCGGGGACACGGGTTCGTGCCCCGGTCCACGAGGATCCCACATGCCGCGGAGCGGCTGGGCCCGTGAGCCATGGCCGCTGAGCCTGCGCGTCCGGAGCCTGTGCTCCGCAGCGGGAGAGGCCACAACGGTGAGAGGCCCGTGTACCGCAAAAAAAAAAAAAAAGAATGCTCAAGTAAAACACAAAATTTATAGCTTATTGTAACCAGTATAATTTCATTGTTGCATGAGGATGTGTGAGAGAAAAGTGTGGAGAGGCATATACTGGGCTGTTGACATACACAGGACTCTTCACTTTGTGGTTTGTGTAAGCATAGAAGCGTGGAAGGACATAAACCAGTGTATTGGTATTGGTTACCCTGGGAAAGAAGATTGCTGGCTTTTCTTTTTGTACATCTGTGTTATTTGGCTTTTTGCTTAAATATAAAATTAAAGAAGTAGATCAAACATCACATGATAAAATAGGAGAAAAAGAGGTTTAACATTTTGGTTGAAATATAGTATCTTGAAGTATTGGAGGGTTGCATAAGAGTTATTTTCTCTAATAAAGTTTATAAATGGAAGAAGAAGAAGAATAAAAGTTATCCTTCTTGAACACTTAGGTACTTACACCAGACGCTGTGCTAAGCCTTTTACATGGGTTTTCTTTTTTAATCCTTAAAAAAGCTCTAAGAGGCATTGTCCCAGTTGTACAGATGAGTAAAAGAGGCTGAGGGAGCTTGGTAATTTGTTCAGGGTCACCCATCTAGTAGGTACTAGAACTAGAATTTGAAGCTAGATCTTTGACTAGTGCTCTTAGGCACTGTATTATATATTAGAGTGTATGCTTAAGGAATATATTTTTAAAAAAATTTACCCTCCCAAGTGTATTCATTTAATGAGGATTATTGTTCATTTTGAAATCACAAGCAGTACAGAAATTCAACCCCCCAGGCATGTTGTAACTTCACAGGGCATAACCTAATTCCTAGATGCTTAAATGGCAAAGGTGGGTTTATTGATGTTTTTAAAAAGTGGTTCAGTCCATATGTTGCTTGCTCGGACAGAGAAAACAGAATGAGAATGCCAAGTGAATGCATTGCTGTCATTGGAGAGGTAGCTAAAGCCGATTGATTTCTGGATTATTCTGAAAGGTAGAAGTCAATTTGGATAAAGCACCTCATGTTGAATTTTGTATTGTCTTCACTACCCTGAATATCAGCAGTAAGAAAATGAATTTCAATGATCCTCAGTTGAGAATAGTCTCCCTCCACTTAATGAGGTTTCTGGGAGTCACCAGAGGCTTGATTAGTGTCAACACCTGACACTACATCTATGACAACATGTATGTTACTAAAGCTAAGGATCTCCAGTGAGTTAAGTTTAACAAAACCATTTGTCCTGGAAAATAATGCTTAGACGTATATGTTAATGAAATGTCTTAAAATACAAAAAGTCGTTCAACACAAAATCACATCTGAAATTCAAGCAATTATTTTTATAACAAAAATAAGCAATATAGAATAATGTTACTAAGAGATCTGCTGTAAAATTCTTTACAAACTCTCAGTTATTTTCAAGAATAAGCATTGCCTCTGTTTTACAAAAGGCCTGTGAATACACTGTAAGAGGAAACTGGCATCAGAATGTCATAACTAAACATTCTCCACAAATGAGTAGAAGCATTTGAATTCCATGTACTGAACAGATCAGATTCTTTGTAAAAATGGATGCATAAGACAGTCCATATGAGTTTGGATTTTGGATGGAGCTATATTGAAAATTGTAAATACCTTATTATGCATATTTTTATTGTTTCAATAGTCTTAAACCTTGTTATCAATAGTAACAAGGAACCAATAAGGAGAAAACTGAGTTAAGAAAGTTTAGTATCCCTAAGTCTTGATTTTGTAGTAGCCAAATTATAAATAATGATCTCTAGTCGCAATTTTATACCCTGAGAAGTAATAATAATTGCTATATATTTGGGAGGGTATCTAATGAGATTGCAAATGGAAAATATCTACCACGGTGCCTATCATCTATACTAGAGCTAGATACTCAAATATTATTTCAACCACTTTTCTGCCTCTCACTTTAGAAGTATGTCTATTATAGTGTCTGTCACATAATAGGCACTTAGTAAATAATTGTTTATTACATGAGAATGTATGAGTGAGACAAAAGTAGGGCAAGGTATTGTTTTTGACTGAACCTTATGGATTTGCTCATCTCAAAAAGGTCACCCTGGGTGCTTTGATCCTCACCTTTGTGATTTCAGAAGCTCTGCTTTCTTACTTAAAGCAACTTCTTAGGAATTGTCACATGCTAACAGAAATTACATTCTGCTGATTTTATCAGCTACAGTACCAATTCATCATGTGGAAAAGGACAGCAGAATAATGTATACTGGCAATGGAAAGTAATGCATGTCTTGGTGGGCTGGTACACTCAGGAGGAGACCAAATTTATAGATCAGATTGCTCCTTGACAGTTAGAAATTAGACATTACCAAAAGAATCCTCAAATCAAGCTAATACTTGATGTGTTTTACTTTTCTGCTCTAGAGATATTTTATCTAGATATCAGTGAGTGGTTAGATTCGATTAGATTAAGTTAGATTAGATTAAAGTCAGATTCCCTCCTTCTCTTCCCCCAGTGCTTGGGGAAATCATACTGTTCAATGATACTTTCCAGTGTTACTACTACTACAAAAGCTTCTAAAATTATGATATTTGTGTATTTTTCTTCCATTGCAGCATATCTCTATTCTGAATAAGTTTAATACATTTCAAGATTATCATTTACATGATGCGTATAAAATTTAAATAGATAAATTATTGTGAGTTTTAAGGGATGGCCTATATTCCTTGTTAATTGGGTTTATAAGTGGGTTTCCATAGGTGGCTAAGTCTTTCCTTTTGTATTAAATCTCAGTAGTTTTTGTTTTAGAGAGTGATATTTTCTACTGATATCCCAAATTTTAGGGACATCCTTAATTTGGACCCCCTTGTGCACTGACTAACTAACCCCTTGTGCACTAACTATACTTAATCTGGGTTCCCTTGTACACTAACTAAAGGTCTTATG